TGTTTTTTTTCTTCCAAAACCTATTAGGTCTCCTCCAGGGAGCTGTTTATTCGCTTTGGAGCAAGCCACTCTCACTCTTTAGAGCAACAAAACGTCCCTTGTATCTTGCACATTTTGTGCCTCAGGCGTTCGTCTTAGTTTCATAAAAACAAAGCGGAAGAAGCCTCTTCCATTGAGAGTTTTGTATCTCATCCTGACCTCCTGCTCATATTTTATCGCCCCGTTTGACCACTGTTGCCTACACTGCTCCCCCATTTATTGTGACTGTATGGAGTTATTGAGGAGTTGGACCTATTAGGTGGGGATCTGCCGTGGCTGTCAGGCAACCAATTACTGTAGCTTGCAGCCATGTATGCCTGCCCTAATGCATCTGGACAATATGGGAGGGGTGAAGGATGTTGTAAGCAGTGGGTGGGTGGGTGGGGGTGGGGGGTGTATTTTAGGGGTCGGGTAGGGTTTCTCTGGAGACCTGCAATAGCAGCGTGTCGTTAATCCATCCGATTTAGACCGGACAGGGACCCACTTAGGCTTTGCTCCCTCCAACACTGCCATTGCGGGGGAGAGAGTGTGTGCGTGACCTGCATCTTATTCCAATGCGTGGACACAAAAAGATGGATAGATGGGTTTGAGAATGAAGAGAATGGGATAGGGTGGGGAAAGAGAGAGGGATGATGGAATGGGTGAGAGGTGTGGAGGGAGAGACAACAATTAATGGAGAGATGTGAGCTGAATTAAAACAAAGGATATGTATTGATTTATTTCTGTCTTGGAGAACAAGACACAAATTTTCACCTTGTGTTAAATAAATGCTTTTATAAAAAAATAAATATGTTCAGTTTTATTGAAGTAATGTTCCAGTGCTGGGATTGTGAGGAAAAATAGTTATTTTAGACTTATTCGATTTATCTTTCTGATCACAAGGGAAACTTGATGACTGGTGGAGATGATGAACCATATCTTCCATCAGACTGAGACCCAGAGGAGGAGACAGAGGATGGGGTTGGGGCATTGTATTTGCATTCATTAATATGTATGCAGATGCAAGCTTTATTCTCCACTGTTTGTCTACTCTGATAGTTTGTTACTCAGCCAGTGAAAGCTCAATTTATTATAAGGAGATTTGCTTACTGATTGTGAAAACAGAATTAAAATTTTTACAACTATATTAATAAAGAGGCATGCTACACAACTTTATTATATTGTTACTAGTAACTGTTATTTAAAAATATACAGAAGAACATCTATCTATCTATCTGTCTGTCTGTCTGTCTGTCTGTCTTTCCATTTTGCAGATTCTCATTGTTTGAATTAATTGAACCTTTCTGCATTTTTTGCATTCTTGTTGATATATGCATATATATGGCAGAAGTTGTTGAGGGGTTTACTAAGTTTCTTACATAACTCTACTTCTGAAAATGTAATACTTATTTCTGTATGAAGTATAAGTTTGGACTGAACCAAAAAATTCAGAATATTTGAGCCAAAAGACACTTTTGTGCATTTTAAATTCCCGACAAATTGACAGAAGTATACCCTAATACACACATCCCTTGCAATCTCCGGTGCAACAGGTAGATCTGCAGGAGAGAAACAATGCTCTGGGAAAAAAAGATACTAAGAATGCACTCTCAGATGGAGGTTTGAGGCCATAGATCACTGCACATCTCATTTATCTACCCAGTGAGCAGGAAGGGATCAGCACTGATGACACTACCCCAGATCACAGCATGAGAGAGGTGAAGCAAACTGGAAGCAGTGTCTCCAAATAATGGTTTTGTGTGGGATAATTTTATATTAGAAAGAGTGTGTGTTTTACAGGATCACTTTTTGTTTAGTTAGAAAAACAGTAGAAAATATTTTTAAGAAATGCACAAATTATCTATGTTTGTAGCATGTTGTAAAAATAGATCCTGAATTCGAACCGCAGCATAGGGTCTTTCTGTGTGGAGCTTACATCTTCTATCCGCCCATTTGTGTGGTTTTTTTTTTTGGGGGGTACTCTTGTGTCATCCCACACACCAAAAACATCCGTTTTAGACTTAGTGGTGAGACAGGGGGGTTAGATTGAGAGGTTAATTGCCCTTCAGTTTGTGTGGGTGTGTGTGTTTGTTTGTGTGTGTGTGTGTGTGTGTGGCCATGTCTTTAATACCTGGTGGGGACAATTTCCTAGGAATATGCTACATTTTGGGGACTCATAGGTACTTGTGGGGACCAACAACTGGTC